ACCCTGGTTCTGGGTAACCTGAAATGATTTGGGCTAGCTTGGTTCGATGGGTTCGGTTTCCCAAAGGTTGATGGGTTTGGGGACTGAAGCGCGTCTGCTCGGGGCTCCAGATCCGAGGATCCTGGGCCCGGTGTGCGCCCGCGTAGTCTTCTTCGGCTCTCAGGGCCTCTTCCCGAACGCCTCGAGGCATTCGGACCAAGGGCTGGGCAGGGGGAGCAAGCGAAGCACGGGGGAGCTTTGGCCATGGCTTCTTGCCTCCGGGCTTTTTGGGCTTCTTACCTCTGAAGTGTTTACAAGATGGTATCCATGGGTATAAGTGTCCCAAGCGGAGTACCAGGCTTACTACCACTTGCTAGGTACTTTGTTCCTCCCAAACCGGGCCCCACCTAAATGATTGTCACCGGAATATTGCCAAAGGGGGATAGAACTCGGTGATTTGACACCCAGATGGTCTCAAGCCCTCCATTTGGGAAGCCCCAGAGCACTCCGTTGGTGGAGGGCTTTGGGGGTGCCCAAACCTGGTCATGTGCCGTCTATGCGTGTGGGTGTTTTGGCCATTTGTTCGGTCCCAGCTTGTTAGACATGTGGCAGGAGTTTGTAGTTTGTTAGACATCCGGATAAACCCGGCAAGTGAGTCATATGTTTTTGCTTATTTGGCAGGTGAGGCTTTGTGGTTTGTCACTTGAGTTGTCGTTGATTAGTCATTCGGTACTTTGCACAGATTTGGATGCCAGGCTGAACCACAGCTGCTTGCCCAATGCGGAGTGGCAGATTGAGCCCTCGACGGGGACTTCCGCACGCCTTAGCCTACGGGCCAAAGAGAAGGTGAAGAAGGGGCAGGACGGGTCAAATGCGAAGTAGCTTGGTGGTTCCCGGCAAGTAGCTGGGTGGTTCCCGGCCATGTTGTTTGGTTTTTGGGTTTTTAGTTGGTTTAGTGGGGCGGTTCCATTTAAGTCGCAGGGGATTTGCGACAGCCCAGGCAGGGCAATGGAATGTAGAAGAATGGGAACCCCATTTCTTATGGGAACGCCCTTTATCTCACTTCTAGTGCAACCAACAAGTTGGGACTTTCGTTTGGCTCATCCGCTCGAGCGGAAGTGAGATACTGGAAGCTCCCTTTAAAAGAGGAGGCCCAGGATTCGGATTCAAGGGCTGAACATCAAGGTGAGGCAGAAGATTGGGATCCAGACCGGAGCAATGTCGCCTGCAGCCACTTCCTGCTCCAAATACCACGTACTAACAACATGGAAACCCAGGCTTGTCAAAAAGTACCCTAAACACAGTGGGTACTTGGAGTGGAGTAGGGGGCATGGTTATGAGGGAACAAATCGCAGTCACCGTTATAGCCATGGTTGACGCTGGAGTACTACACCACCTGCTTGATGAAATTCCGGGGGGGAGAGGGAGGTGCGTGCAAGGTTTATTAATCCATCGACAAGCGGTTCCTTAGTTTGTACCCAAACTTATCCTGGTTTCCATATCATCCCAAACAGTACCCCCCCCCCTCTCCAATTTTCGTGGGATGTAGTCAGAACCGATCCAATAGCCATGTCACAAAGTCCACTCCCACTACCCGCAGGGCATATTCCTGTTCATACCCCATAGATTCCAGTTTCCCCCGTGAAACGGACCCAGAAAGTCGGACCCAGCTGATATGGACCGAATGTTGGCCGAACACATGGCTTTCTGGAGTCATCCACCCCAGGACATGGATAGGATCACTTAAAGGTGCATGGTACGTGAGGTAAGTGGGTAATAACTTTGGTTAGAATCCGCTTACCCTGGTTATAAGTCTCCGTCCAGTGCGTTATAACCAGGCTTACTCTCACCAACTAAGCCGATCGCCCCTTGAAGCAGTTTCCCTGGGCGCCTTTTTTCCTCGAGAATGGAAGTTGGAGGAGCTGCTGGTGGACTATATCCCCGAGCTGGAGCACCTGGATCCGCAGGAAAGGCGAAAGCTTCTGCAGCAGGCTCCGAATTCGGGGGAGGTTCGTTCGGGGACCTTCCGGTGCGGCCACCGTGCGAAAATGAGCGGCTCGTCCCTTTTTTGTTTGAGCGCACCCACTCTTCGTCAGATTGTGTTGTTTTGAGGGCACCCACTTTTTGTCGTTTTTTTTGAGGGCACCCATTTTTTGTCACCCACCCTTGGTTTTGCTGGTTGGATAGGCAGGGCATGAGAAATGGAATGACCCCCATGAACAATCTTTGTGGCTTCCTTTCAGGGACTTGTCTGGCTTCAGGCTGTACCAAGATCCTCCCCCCAGAGGGGTGGCTGTGGTAAGGGTTGGTTCAGGGGTGGTTAAGGGGGTGTTCAAACAGTCGAATTTCATGGTTGTGGTAAGCCGAATGCCTTGCGGGTGTGGAGGTCAAACCATCATTCCCCTTTTCCCTCTTTCTTTGCCGCTCAGAATGGTCAACTGGCCTCACAAAAGACATTTCTTGTTCCGTTCGGCTCGCTGGTTGCAATGGTTTTTCTGCATAACAGTAGTTTGATGAATACGTGTGAAGGTGGCCCAATCCTGGCCAATCCTGGTTGCTTTGGAGGGAGGGGAGGGGATTTGAAGAGACACCCGCCATTTCCTACCATGCGAGGTTATTTGTTGTCAGCAGGCCCTGATACACAACGTGATGCGCCCCGTGCAGGACTACGGGTTCCTTTGCCACTGCCTCAAGTGCACGGGCGCGGCGCCTCGCGCTGCTGAGGAGGAAGCGGAGGAGTGAGTGCTGGGAGCACCAGACAATTCTCCGCTTCCATAGCATTTTCGGTTTTTAGTTGGTTTAGTCGTCTGAAAGTCAGTGTTTTTGCAAGGGATCTGAGGACAGCCCAAGTTAATTGCAGGGGAGATTCGTTGAGATTCCATGGAAGCGGTTGGGTACTAAGTCTTAATCCACTTCGCACCTGGTGCCCAGTTCTCACAATGTTTCATCCATCCCATCGGGCCAGTAGCACGGCGAGTAGAACTTGCGCACCGCAAGAGCGAAAGGATTGCCAGGGCTGGACGGGGGGGTGTCGCAAAATGGGCTGGAACCCTCGACAGTGCTAGGGATGGACGAAATGCTGCACCTTCTAACAATCCCTGGGATGGTTCGAGATCCGATTCCCCTGCAAATAGCAACCAATGTTGTGGTTTCAACCATGGTTCTTAGGTGGTGCGAACGGATTTCGCAACCATCTACAGATAGGTGTTGGTTTCCCTTTAAAGAGGATACCCTCAATAAAATATGCAGGTTCCTTAGGTTTTTAGGGTTTTAGGGTTTTAGTTGGTTGAGTGCGGGTTTCCACCAAAAGTTAAACTCTTAGTGGGGACTCAGATTAGAAACGTACTTGGTCTATGTTGTCCTCACCCAAGTCTTCTGCGTTGAATGAGGGTAGTGGAGAACCCTTCTGCGACAGCGAACCTCTCTACAAGGGTTACTGTGGATGGACGAAATCGGTTCGTGCCACCTAAGCAACCATGGGAAACCGGTATTTCCAGGGGAACACTCATTCCATGGTTTTTTAGGTGGTGTAGGATTTCGTCCATCCGCAGCATCACAGCCTCTTGTTTCCCCAAAGATTCAGGGGCGTCGCCGCGACAAATTCGTCAGGCTTGCGTGGACGGGATACTCGCTTTGAGGAATCGCACAAGAGCGCAAGGGCCGAGAACCTTCTTTGGGTGAGCAAACAGGGCCGATTTGTGCCATCTGACTTGGCTAGCAGGACCTCAGACTCACATTGAAGCAGCGCCTCACTGAGTTCCTGGACTTTTGCACTTGCTGGGAAAAAGTGGAAAACCATTTTATTGGTAACCATGAAGTTCATACGTTTTTGGCAACTTAGTCGACCTTTGTGCTTATTTGCTCCATGCAACTTTAGCTGTAGATCTTGCCAAGGTTTGGTCATGCTGGAAAATCGGGGGGGGGGGGGGGTTCGCATGTCCATGTTCCAGCAACTGCTTTGTTGTTTGGCACAGGAGTCACAATCAACACCCAGACAATTGGAGGCTAGGTAAGGGACAATCCCAGTCATAAATGGGTGCGGCCGCCTTCTCAATTCTTTACATGGTTCTGGGTAGACCAAGTTAATACCGGGTTTTGATTATGACTCACATGGCAAAAGGGGAGGTTTGACCTCTATGTCAAAAGAATGTTTGATGGCCATCCATTGGAGCTGCCTCAAAAGTGGACACATGCACTAAACTGATGTTCAGCAAAGAGTCCCTATTTACAATTCATACCCACAGTGATCGACGCAGCGAAACCATGCGGTGATGTTTGTGCTGACCCAACAGGATGCTGAAATGCACATATGTTCTACTCGCGGTGCAAGCGCCTGACCCTGGTCAAAACCAACCAGAGGTTATGAATGAAGCAGCTGGTGGCCAGCTTGAAGTGGATCTTGGGCTGACCTGGAGCTGTCTGGCCCCTGAAACATGAGGTGTGCCCAACACTACGGGGTGAGGTCCATTCTTTTTGAGAGCCTCGAAGACTCTTTTTAACATTTTTGTTCATTGGTGACCGTGGAGTTTCCCCACAATTCTGGTGTCGTCATGAACGCAAGGACACCCGAAAACAGGGTTCCCCAAGAAACGATTCCTCCAAACATGGATCTATGATTCAGGCATAGGTGTCCTTTTTGGTTGGTTTGGTTGAGAATAGATGGCCCTGGTTTACCTGGTGGTTTCTTCATCTACCAGGGAACCCCATTGTTTGACAACCGACCAAAAAGGACACCTATGGATTCAGGCTTCCGTTAATCAGACTGCTCTTGACCCTTGGCTCCAGCATCTTTTTTTTCATGGGCCCTGAAAAGGCTCGCAAAAAGGGGCTTGTCTTCTTTTTAGGGGACTGGACCCCCCCAAAAAAAAACAGAAGAAGAAGAAGAAGGAACGGCTTTCCTTCTGGTTGCCCTTCAAAGCCACCAAAAAAGGGGGAATGACAACTCGATCACGAGACCTCCGCAAAGGAAAATGGGGGGAAACCCACCTCCCCCCCGCCTCCCTCCGCGCAACTTTTGCCAGGCCTTGGGCCTCCGGGAGTCAGGGCCGGTGGTTGCATCAGGCACGCAGGAGCGATCAGAGCGGTCGGTTCGATGGCTCGCTCGCGCCGGGGAGGGGGGGGGAATTTCAGGCGGGGAAAGAGGGGCGGCTTCACTGCTCCGGGCACTGTTGTAGCGGTAAACAAGACGTGTTAACGGTTAACGTGTTCTGTTTTGTGTCTTTTTCTCGGCCAATGTAAAAACAGATCAGGAAGTGAGGTTCAAGGGCTCAAAAAAAATCGCTCATCTCAGGGGAAGCAGGCTTGTCTCAAAATGTGGTGCGTGTCGAATTTGTTTTGAGGGTACCCTTTGGGGTTTGGTTGAAAGGGCAGCCCAATGGAAGCCACTCACCTTGGGGGGTCCGATTCGATTCCTTTGCGGCACACCCGGTTCTGCTTCGGAAGCTCAGAAGCTCAACGCCCAAACCCCCAAGATCAATTCAAGGGCAGTGTGGAGACCCTGGGGTTCGGTGAAACCCGATCTTATGGGTTTTGGCAAGGCCTATATAAACCTGTACCATCATAGAACCAAAAGTCCAAGAGTGTTAGGCGCTGCCTAGCCCAAGGAAGAGCAGCAACTATATGGGAGCACTAGCCCCAATCAAGTCTACGAAAACCTTCCTTCTTCCCTGCCTTCCCGTCTGTACTCCAATCAAAATGAGTGATCCCTTTTTGGATGGATTGAAAAGAGAACGAAGGAGGAAGCCACAGGGCTTGGGGCTGGGGCTGTTGATTAGCCCTTGTTCAAAAGTTAGCGGGTCATGCGGGAAATTGGGTTTCGCCATTTTCTGTGATACCAAGGGACGCCCCATGAGTGATAAGGCAGTCATGGATTCGAATCCCATTTCGGTCCAAGGCATATGTCCCAGAATTTCTAAGGGTAGTTTGAGGGTAAACTCGGCCTTCCAGAACACCATAGACAGAAAATAAGCTCAAACAACAACTCCCCGACTTGATGCCCCCTTGTGTTTCCCATTTTAAGGTTTCAGTGGAAACCAAAGCTAGCGCACCCCTTGCACCCAGTTATGCTTGAGGAGATCTTGGGTATGGCCGGGTCCTTCCACGGCGCCGGGGGCCTCGATAAAGGAAGGGTAAAGGTCAGGGAAGTGAGTAGGGAAGTGAGTGGTAGGCCTGGTTGTAACCCATTTCGACTTCTAGCTATGGCTTTTGTGGGTTGTAACCATGGATGTTACCTACTAAGTACACTGCCGCTTTTAGCGGGGGTGTGTTTTAACGGGAAACCGAAAGGAGCCACCAAACATGTCTTTTGAATACGCTCCAAACGTCTGGACCATTTGAGTCCCAAAACGCGGGGACTGGGACCCCCCGTTGAAGGGAAATTCGTGTTTCACGGTTCGGAAATCACATTTGACGCCCCAGGTAAATTACCCCTTTTTGGCGGGGTTCCGAACTGAGAGATACCCACAGGTGCCATGGTCATTCTGCACCCTTTGACGTGCTGGGCCATCCCAAAGCTTCCGAATAGCAACGAGGACTGACCATGATATTTTCCGTTTGCTCACCATGGGCATGTTTCCAAACCAACCCCCAGTGCTTCCAGTTGCCACTATAGTAGAACCACGGGAAACCATCATGTGCAGCCTAGAGGTAAGGATTCCGGGTGGGTTGCCTACCACAGACGTAACTGGAAGCGGCATGTTGGTCAATCTACATACTTTTCGAATGACCAGACCCTGCCTGGGGGTTTTGGGTGGAAAGAAGGATCCCTGGCTTCTGAACGGGGAAGTTGCCGGAGTACGACACCTGGGTTTGTCTGGGTTGGAAGCCCTTGCTGGCCCGCGGGCGCGAAAAAGATCATGGTGATTTTGGATTTTACGCGATGGGAGAGCCCCTCAGCGATCGAATGGTTGAGGCTTAGCCATAGAGAAACTGGATAGCATTTCCTTTTCTTGTGTATATGTCCCTATGCATGATCAAAGTCTTACCCGGGGTTGGGGATGTAGATGACAACTAGCATAAGGAGCCTCAGGGAGCTGCGACCGGTTTTCAGCGTGCCGCTGTTGTTGCGGGTTCAATGGGAATTCAAAGGCCAACCACCGTCAACCACCGTCAACCACCGTCAACCACCGTCTTTGTTCTTTCGGGTGGGTGGGAGGGGCGGGGATACGCACCCATATATGAAGCCATCACCATGTCGGACTGCATTTCGGAGGCGGCTCTCTCAGAAGCCAGAGGATTTGTGATATGATTCTTGGCGCCGCTGCAACTGAAGCTCCGGAGAGAGCTAGGGTGGACCTGTATCCGTTCGGGAAATAACATAACCAGGATGAGGGGAAGTATGGGCAGGATCCAGCCTCACGGAAACAAGAAAAGCTCCAGCTTTTTTGGACAAATCAGAGGAGCATACCCACTTTCCAACAATCATGGAAGCGCCAAAAGTAGGGTTTTGGAAGACTCCATCTTTTTTTGAAAAGGCAGGTCCCTTGTTCACCAGGGGCCAGTTAGAAAGACACGAACCGGGACCGGTTGGAAAGCAAACGCTTTTGTCAGCTGATTTGGATTGCCTTGTAAAGGAGGCAGTTTCTGGATGCATCCTTCATTGAACCCTGCCCACTTTCCTGTGAGACGGCCCCACAATGTCTGGGAGGTGGGGGAGATGGGGAGGCGGGGGGAGGTGGCGGGGAGGTGGGGGGGAGGTGGGGGGGAGGTGGGGGGGGGGGGGTTCGGGCAAGGTGAGCTGAAGAGGCGGAGCGGGTAGAGGTGAGATGTTGCATGTTGGCGGTCAGGACTGGACTTCTTGTGCTTGGGGACGCTGCTCCTCTTTTCCATCTGCCCCATCTGATTTTTTGACGCCTTCAGTTTACCTCTCACTTTTGGCAGAAAGAACAGGCCGGCCCCGTTTGTTTGTGGCAGCAACCTGGCGCTGAGGGCTACCCGAGGCGTCCGCGCCGGCATCGCTCTGGCCTCAGGGTCGATCGTGGGTGCAAGGTGACGGACACTCAACTCTTAGCTGGGGGTCGCTCCTTTCTATTTCAATGCTGACGGAATCGTTCTTTTCATTTGTTTGGTTCTGTTCATTTTTAGGAGGGGGCTGCAAAAAAGCCGTTGGTTAGCGGCAAGCCCAGACCAAGGGTTGCGAAGTTATGTTGGGTAGATTCCGAGTTAGGTCAAGTTTTGGGAACCTTCCAGAGTGGGATTTTCCATTGGAATACTCACCTGTGGCAAACCGTTTGGATGTGGTTTTTGTGGATCCAAACCTATCTAGGATTGTGTATAAAAGAGTGCCAATAGAGTACTAATTTGTCAGAAGTGGGAGTTTCATTCGAAGCGACCAGTTAATTTATCAACTGTCCCAGGAAAACAAATGAGTGCCCCGTGAGCAAGTCTCAAGTCCTGAGTTCCTTTAGACACTTGTTGGGAAGACCGTTCTAGTGGCAAACAAAACGTTTGGACTCGTTTTAGGCTAATCAACTCAAGAAGTGAGCTGTATTTGCATCGCGGGGGGGGGGGGTACTTTCCCATTTTGAAACCATGGCTTCCAAATTCAGAACCCCCCCCCAAGTTGGGCCCATACCACCAAAGACCCAGGGAAATAGTAGGTGTTTGACAATGCGCATGTTCTTCCTGCTGCCAATATTTTGGAGCGGGTTGCCTGTTGCCAACTCACTCCCTGAATTCCTGGACTGAATGCTTTATGGGAACATCATTCCAGTGGCAATCAAACAACAGCTGGAACTTTCCGTTGGCCAGTCCACTTCCCGAGTGATTACCTGGGAGGATAGACCCTTCACAAGCTGAAGCGAGCTCTTTTGGGCCGAATCATGGATGGTCAGCCAAGGATCCCGTGATTTGTTCTAGGCTTGCCTTCTTTGCAGTTCGTACTCAGACAGACACATCCAGTTGGAAGCGGGCGCTCGACTGCCAGGCCCTTGTCCTCACATAAGCGGCCATACGTTTGTACAAAGATTCAGATCTGATTCTCTGGAATGATATGCTCATTTGGGACGTATCCATATCCATAGGGCTTTAAATGCGGTTTCGGCATGGACCTTGAACTGTTGGTGTCAGTAAGTACCATCAGGAAGCAGCATGCCTTTGTGACACCCATGCGACACCGGGGATATGTCTGGAGGATTCTCTGCAAACATGCCGAGAAAGTGTTTTCCCCCAACAGCTGAAGGCGGTTGATCTCTGCCCCGAGCCAGCTCCGTTCCAGTCGTTTGGAGTGCGGCTGTGGCCTCCACATGGCTGTGTGTCTAAGAATAGCCCCCCCAAAAAAAGAAAGAAACGAGGTGTGTTTCCTTTTGGCTTGAACGTTTTAAACCACTGCAAAAGGGGTACGGAAAAAAGGAGAAAACACATAAGTTGGAAAAAGGGACATCCCCCGGATTCATGTTCAGGACTATTCGGTGGCCCCCAGACCTTTTTTGGTTGGGCGGGGAGTCTGCCACCGGGCTTGGGGCAAGAGGCTCGGCGAGGCCCCATTCCGTACACGTGGCATTGAGGCCACTAAGGCCGACAGGAAGGACGGGCGTTCGGGGGTTAATGCTGGTGGGCTGTCAATTCTACGGACCCCTTTTGGACCACTTTGAAAGGCGGGGCATAAACCATGGCCGGTAAACTGGCTGTTTTCAAAACTACATGGTCATGACTGCTAGATGTGAGTTTGGATGTGAAATCTTGAGCAAATTCAAGATATTGCATAGGCCAGTTCAAGGATGTAGTGCCAAAAACATTGGGACACATGTGCCGCAAGCCGGGTACGTAGTTTTCGACGCATTCCCTGCTATATCCAAAGTGGTTTTTACGTCTCGTTGAACACAATGATTGAGAAGCTGATGCTTCACTGGGTAGGATACAAGTCGCAGGGGCGAGGGTGGGGAGCCGTGGGACAGATATTTCTCAAAGATGGTCCCAATCCAAACTGCAATATAAGGGGCAACATGATGACTAGTAGTTTTTTCCCTCTCTGTTTCGGGCATCTTTTCTGGCGAAGAGGTTTTTCACAGACCGGTGGGACACGTTCTGCATCAGACACGGTAGAATTTGAATCCTTTTTTGGACTTCGACTAGGAAGTTTCCTCACCTTTCCTCTGGGTTGCTGAGGCCTTTGGTTTTCCACAACAGGGTTCCATCATGTTTAGTTCGCCCCCAGCAGATCCACAAGGGCATGTGATCCTTTCATGTGTGCTGGGGGGGAATGTAGGTCTTGCGTAGGGATCACTTCTTCTTCGTCGTGGACCTTGTGGCACTGTGAAGAAGCAAGCTGAGTGTGGGATTGCCGCTTTCTGTCATATGAGAAGTTGTTTGTTGTTATGGTTGGGTGACCCTTCAATATCATCAGGGCTTCCTTGAGCAATTTTTCCACCAACGCACATCACCGGGCGTGGGGCTTTCACGAGAAACGGACCATTCGCCGGGAATGCCAGGCTTTTTAGGTTTTTGGTTGGCTTAGTGCCGGGTCTCGATTTAACTCTAAGCATTTAGTGAGCCTGGTTGAAACTTGGTTGGGAATGGCAGCAGCTTTTTGTTGGACAAGTTCAAGCAAAAGGGTTTGTGTGTGTGTGCTTACCTTGCAGAACCACGTTTGCCAAAACAGCCCCACTTGTAGACACCTTGCAGGGCAAACAAAAACACACGTGCCCAAGGAAAAGCGGGTAAATGGCGGGAGAGCGATCCAAGCGAACACTAGAAGGGGGTTGTGTGCAACCTTTGTCTAGGGCCTCTTTCCGTGGTTTGGCTGGCTTGCAGGGAGCGAGACCTGGTTATTTTGCGACAAACCAAGGAGCAGAAGGTTCCAATCACCACTTAAAGGGGCGATCGGCTACTTGGCATTCCTAGTTATGACCCCCTTAGGAGACTTATAACCACAGCTTTGTGGGTTTTCTCACCATTTCCTGACGTACCGAATCGATCGCCCCTTTAAGCAAACTACACCCTTTGTGGCTGTGGGTGGAGACCTCCCAGCTCAGGATTTACTGCGAAGGCCTCGCCTTTTTTGCATTATCGCACGCGCAGGTTCGGACAGAGCCAGTGCAATCGCTTGAATGCTGGGCATGCGGTGAGCATTTGGGCGAACAATTCGAATGCTGCGGTTTGCGGTTGGGCCGCCTGCGTAAAAACACGTGCCCCACGTGTCTTACCAGTTGAGTTGCCAAACTTGATACAAGTTGGGCGCGGACCCCCCACAATTTGTCTTTCGGAACCGCACTTCTGTGATATCTTTGTTTTTTACCTTTTAGGGCTTACAAGATATGTCCCAATCACAAATATCACAGAACTGGTTGGGGCAGCCCTTGGACAGGTTGTTTTTTGGGTTTCGCCTTTTTGCTTTTGAGCCGGACATTGGACGGATCGGTGGAAGGTAAGAGGCGACGTTTCACCGAGCGGCCGAAATGGGCGCGAATCCCAAGCTGTGAATATCCAAATCGCGAGGTCAGTGACACCTGCTGGAGCATGTGGTTGACGTACTAAACGGGAGTTTTAAAGCATTGGCTAAACGAGAGTTTTCTGACTTCTGTCGATTGAAAAAGAGGAATCTTAAGCTTTGGCTTCATGTTTACCGACTTAAAGTTATGGTTGTTGTTGTTGCTGCTGCTGCTGCTGCTGTTGTTGTTGTTGTTGTTGTTGTTGTTGTTGTTGTTGTTGTTGTTGTTGTTGTTGTTGTTGTTGTTGTTGTTGTCGTTGTCGTTGTCGTTGTCGTTGTCGTTGTCGTTGTCGTTGTCGTTGTCGTTGTGGCTGTGGCTGTTGCTGTTGCTGTTGCTGTTGCTGTTGCTGTTATTGTTGTTGTTGTTGTTGTGGTTGTTGTTGTTGTTGTTGTTGTTGTTGTTGTTGTTGTTGTTGTTGTTGTTGTTGTTGTTGTTGTTGTTGTTGTTGTTGTTGTTGTTGTTGTTGTGGTCGTTGTTGTTGTTGTTGTTGTTGTTGTTGTTGTTGTTGTTGTTGTTGTTGTTGTTGTTGTTGTTGTTGTTGTTGTTGTTGTTGTTGTTGTTGTTGTTGTTGTTGTTGTTGTTGTTGTTGTTGTTGTTGTTGTTGTTCTTGTTTGTTGTTTGTTGTTTGTTGTTTGTTGTTTGTTGTTTGTTGTTTGTTGTTTGTTGTTTGTTGTTTGTTGTTTGTTGTTTGTTGTTTGTTGTTTGTTGTTGTTGTTGTTGTTTGTTGTTTGTTGTTTGTTGTTTGTTGTTTGTTGTTTGTTGTTTGTTGTTTGTTGTTGTTGTTGTTGTTGTTGTTGTTGTTGTTGTTGTTGTTGTTGTTGTTGTTGTTGTTGTTGTTGTTGTTGTTGTTGTTGTTGTTGTTGTTGTTGTTGTTGTTGTTGTTGTTGTTGTTGTTGTTGTTGTTGTTGTTGTTGTTGTTGTTGTTGTTGTTGTTGTTGTTGTTTGTTGTTGTTGTTGTTGTTGTTGTTGTTGTTGTTGTTGTTGTTGTTGTTGTTGTTGTTGTTGTTGTTGTTGTTTGTTGTTGTTTGTTGTTGTTGTTGTTGTTGTTGTTGTTGTTGTTGTTGTTGTTGTTGTTGTTGTTGTTGTTGTTGTTGTTGTTGTTGTTGTTGTTGTTGTTGTTGTTTGTTGTTGTTGTTGTTGTTGTTGTTGTTGTTGTTGTTGTTGTTGTTGTTGTTGTTGTTGTTGTTGTTGTTGTTGTTGTTGTTGTTGTTGTTGTTGTTGTTGTTGTTGTTGTTGTTGTTGTTGTTGTTGTTGTTGTTGTTGTTGTTGTTGTTGTTGTTGTTGTTGTTGTTGTTGTTGTTGTTGTTGTTGTTGTTTGTTGTTCCCTCCGATGGGGTGTTTCCGCGCGCTTTTCGCGTTTCGTTTCCCACTGTAAACAAGGGTTTCAGGGCCATTTTTGACGACCTGCGCGCGGGTTTGGAGCAGTGGGCGTATGTTGCGTTCACGGGCACACTTTCATGACTGAGCGCACGCCTGCCACATGATAAGCACCCACATTGACGCACGCATTATCATCATTGCGTGCATGCACACATTATCATCATTGCACACATTATCATCATTGCGTGCGTGCCTGCCACATGATCAGCATCCACGTTCACGCACACATTATCATCATTGCACACATTATCATCGTTGCGTGCATGCGCGCATTATCATCATTGCACACATTATCATCATTGCGTACATGCCTGCCACATGATCAGCATCCACGTTCACGCGCACATTATCATCGTTGCGTGCATGCCTGCCACATGATCAGCATCCACGTTCACGCACACATTATCATCGTTGCGTGCATGTCTGCCACATGATCAGCATCCACGTTCACGCACGCATTATCATCATTGCGTGCATGCCTGCCACATGATCAGCGCCCACGTTCACGCACGCATTATCATCATTGCCCCAAGGGCATATTTGAACATCGATGAAAACAAGCAGCGTCTGTGGGCGTAAAAACCCCAAGACGCATTGAACAGACAGAAAACTCTGGACCGAAAAACCGCGCGGTGAGAGCCCATCGAAGCGTTGTTGTTTGTTGTTGTTTGTTGTTGTTGTTGTTGTTGTTGTTGTTGTTGTTGTTGTTGTTGTTGTTGTTGTTGTTGTTGTTGTTGTTGTTGTTGTTGCATCGGTTCCGTTCTTGGTGCCACGTTCGGGTTAAGCTATGTCGCTAGCATAGCTTATTAAGGGGAGAGTTTTGGTTATGGTTCCCAAATTGGTCTGGGTGAATGATAGCGACCTCACACGACCTCACCCCAAATTGTGGTTTATGTGGGGAATTGCCCCCCACCCACCTTATTGCAGGCTTGCGAAGTATTATAATGCACCCAGATAGGTGGAAGCCTGCGTTCGCTGCGTTTGAATCATCTCATGGAGCTGCGGCTTTGGACATCGTGCCATCTCCTGAGCCCAGATAAGCCCAAGGCCTTGATATGGAAACTGGTTCCAATCATTGTCGGATCCCTTGTGCGACGTGCAGTGCTGGTCACTTGTTTTTTTCTCCTTTTGTTGGTTCCATCCTTGTTTTCCTGTCCATCGATTTGTTCAGCTGTTCTTGTGGGCTTTTCTCGTCTGGCTTCGATTTGTGGGCTTCTTTTTTGGGTTTCTTTGGTCTATCTAAATTAAACCTTGCCATGTGCTATTAGTCGCACCGAACCAGCTGCCCTGTTGATGGCCCAAAAGATGGTTGCATTTCGTGTCCAGCAGTCCATGCGGGAGGCAAGTGAGAGACACATCAGCTTTGGTGTCACTTTCCTCTTACATTTGAAGATGCAAATGCTACCTACACAGAGGTAGGGAGGAGACGGACTGAGCGATTGAGCGGCACTTGGAATATCTTGAACCGCCCCTCAAAAAGCGAGGAATGTTCTCACACGTGATGAACATCCATGATGGGCCGACTTCCGGGTAGCGGAAACCGACCCACAAAGGCCGCCAGAAAAGAAAGGGTGACGACGGTTTTGGGATATTTTGGTGCCGGGACAAAAAGGTAGACCGAACATGGGGGGGGTTGTTCTTTCCCTACCAAAGCTCAGCGTACGGGGTTTCTCACGTCCGCGCTTCGCGAGTTTCTTCCGATGCCTCCCATGTACATTACCTTCCGATGGTACGAGGCGTTGAGCAGGCGGGCCGGGCAAAACAAGACTCGTGTAGGGACTGAGGGGTGCCATTTCCCTGCCGGTCCTTGAATATCATCCCTTGGGCTTTGAAGGTTTCCTTTGGTGTAGAGGTGACGTCTTCAGGAGGAAGTACAAGGAAACCTTGTGACTCTCATCCATTCTACCTTTTGAGGGTAATTACCCCAACGTGGGTTAGGGAAACCACAAGGATGACCTTTTCGGGGTTCCAACACCCTGCCCCATATCAATCAACCCCACTTTATTAATATGGGGGTGGGGGTGTTCCCCTCCAAAAGTGATGATTCCCCACTAAACCCAGGACCCCCCGTAGTAATAAACTGGGGTTGCTTAGTATGGGTGAGCTTTTTCCACCAAAATAAATGGAAACCACAATTTACAAGGCAATGTTCAGGTGCATAATGTAAGGATCCTTGAATATGGGGTCAACATTGCCATGTGATTCCTGTGCAGACGGTTGCCGGCCCGACCAGCTCCGCCTGGTGCTCGAGCCGAGAAACGCGGATGCGGCCGCGGCCGTGGGAGTGCTGTGCCCTGGACAGAAGCAAGAAAGGACAGAAGGGAGGAAGGGAAGAAGAAGCGTAGGAAAGAATGGATCAAGGAAAGAAGGAAAGGAAGGAAAGAAAGAAGAAAGGAAGGAAGGAAGGAAGGAAGGAAGGAATGAAGGAAGGAAGGAGGTGAAGCAGGTGGCAGAGAGAGTGAAGAAGGGCAGAGGGGAAGAGGGAGGTGTATGCTGGTATTCATCTCCATCTATAAGACACATGAATAATGGTATTAGCCTTGCTGGGTGCTGAATAGCCCATAGTGCTCGATCCTTGTTCAGGGGTATTTACCCACGAGATTACTGTAAGCTTTTGGTGACAGGCGTATGAACAACAGCAAGCTTTTGAGGATCGCTCACCGCGATATCTAAAAGGGGCATGCACGGGGGCCTCGTTGCTTTACATTGGACCGCTTGGTAAACACTTCTGGCTATCAGCCACCAAGTCAAAGGGGCATTGTACTTGGTAAGTGGGTAATGACCATGGTTACGACCCACTCACCATGGATATAAGTCTCCTGAGTGGGTTTTTAACCAGGCCTGCTAACTACTTGCCTGCCGCACCCTGCCCCTTTGAGAAGTTAAGTGCTATGGTTGCAACACACCCCGTCAAACAACTCATACCACTCGCGTGCATCCAAGGGTTCCTACCACTTCGGGGACGATGAACCATGGGGTTCGAGTCAGGGAAAGAGTATTTAGCAGGGCCGAAACAATGAGAATGGGGCGGTACCTCGAAACCACAAGTCAGGATAAGAGCAAACAGCAAGCAATACTTCGGCCTCTGTTAGGCCCATCGCGTGTTTAGCTCATGTTGCTCTCAAGCCTTCATGCCGGGCAAACATACATGGCCTGAAGCTACCCACCGGCTGTGCAAGCAAGATGCTGAGAGCGCTTCCAAGCGCGAAAGCGAAAGCGCCAGAGCGCCAGAGCGCCAGACCGAGAGGGAAGGGGTGAAAGTGAGCGAAAGGAGGAAAGGAGGCAGACCCAGCAAACCCACACAAAGTATCACTGTGCTCATTGTGTTTGGTTTCTGGGCGTCAGCGTGGAAGAATGTAGAGTGATGAAGTGAGCCCACTAG